CTTGAAGCTGGCCATTAAAAAACTGGCACATCTTACTCTCGACCTTTCCAACATCAACCAGACAACACAAGAGTACAACACGGCCAGAGATAGATACATGCAACAGTTGTTGTTTTATCCAGGTTTCCGTCACAACAACTCCACCTTCGCAATTTCCAGAAACGGCTACACGGATGTCGACGCTGCGGAGAATTTGTGCAAGATTTACGGAGGTTACATTGTGGAGATAGACGACGCTGAAGAATACGCGGCAGTACTGGCGTACTTAAACACCACTAGCTATGTGAACTCTGTCTATATCGGGATCTACAGAGATATTCTACCAGGAGAATATAAACTAAGACAAAGTGGAAAAACAGCACCGTTTTTGATGTTGTCTGAGGATCAGCCGAGGATTGGAACAGACTATGCATGTGTGTATCTGTCAAGGAAATTTAACTGGGAGATGATCACGTATTATTGCATTAACTTTTATCAGGTTGTGTGCGAGTTTCCGCGTGTCGTTTAAATAGTGTCTTAATATTGTTTAAATATTGTTAAATATTATTATATCTTGCACAATTCAACTAATATAAAAATGTTAAAAGTATCGCTAAAATTTTGACACTTCTACTTTTTATTACGTATCTAATTTTCATATACAGAAGTTTTAAAAAAGAAAACACTACTATATAAATTGTCTGTTAATATAAACAAAAAATTAAGAATACGTACAACGTATGAATAGAAGCGCTAAGTAAGTGTAGAGACCTAAACTTACTTTTCTTTTTTTTTTAATTTGAGGCTATTATCATCTAAAACAGAATTAAACTACCACAAATGAACATTTTTAATTCATAAAATGTTTTATTTTAATTTTTTTAATTTAAAGACTCCTAGGATTCTACCTAATTTAAATTGTTATTTAGAGATTTTAAATAAGACGTATTAATGTGTTAGTTTCTCTAAAATACCATAAAATTGTACGTACTGACACTGATCTAATGAAGTTGTGCTCATTTGTTTCTTTGAACTCTGAATATAATTAGTTAATGTGGTTATTTCACTGACCTTAGTAATGGAATAATCAAAACTGGGTGGTTGATGCCGTGTTTTACTGGCCAGTTACTAATTAGTGGCTGATGGGGTGTTTTACTGGCCAGTTACTAATTAGTGGCTGATAGGGTGTTTTACTGGCCAGTTGCTAATTAGTGGCTAATGGGGTGTTTTACTAGCCAGTCACTAATTAGTGGCTGATGGGGTGTTTTACTGGTCAGTTACTAATTAGTGGCTGATGGGTCGTTTTACTGGTCAGTTACTAATTAGTAGCTAATGGGGTGTTTTACTAGCCAGTCACTAATTAGTGGCTAATGGGGTGTTTTACTAGCCAGTCACTAATTAGTGGCTGATGGGGTGTTTTACTGGTCAGTTACTAATTAGTGGCTGATGGGTCGTTTTACTGGCCAGTTACTAATTGGTGGCTGATGGGGTGTTTTACTGGCCAGTTACTAATTAGTGATTGATGGGGTGTTTTACTGGCCAGTTATTATTAGTTAGTGGCTGATGGGGTGTTTTACTGGCCAGTTACTAATTAGAGGTGTGTGAACTCAGATGTGTGCAACACGTTCACTTAAAAGTTTTGTAAAAACGGCTTCACACTGTACCATATACATATGAGACAACACTACGATTGATTGTAAAAACGGTTTCACACTGTACCATATACATATGAGACAGCACAATGATGGAGTGGGCTTCACACAGTACCGTATACATATAAGACAGCACAACGATGTTATGGACTTCACACTGTACCATATACATATTAGACAGCACAACGATGTTATGGACTTCACACAGTACCGTATACATATAAGACAGCACAATGATGTTATGGACTTCACACTGTACCATATACATATGAGGCAGCACAACGATTGTAAAAACGGCTTCACACTGTACCATATACATATAAGACAGCACAATGATGTTTTGGGCTGCACACAGTACCATATACATATGAGACAGCACAATGATGTTGTAGGCTTCACACTGTACCATATACATATGAAACAGCACAACGATTGTAAAAACGGCTTCACACTGTACCATATACATATAAGACAGCACAATGGTGTTGTGGGCTGAACACAGTAGTTTGCGTTAGTGGTTGGGTTTGCGTTTTGATTTTGTTCGTTTTCGTTCTTTCTTTTTCGTTTTCGTTTTCGTTTGTGTTTTTTTTCTTTGGGTTTGTGTTTGTATTTGTGTTTGTGGTTGGTTTTGTGTTTGTGGTTGAGTTTGGGTTTGGGTTTGTGTTTGTTTTATCGTTTGTATTAATGTTTGCGTTTATGTTATGTTTCCTTTCTTTATTTGTGTTTTGGTTTTGGTTGGTTGTGGTTAGGGTGGGCAATGCCGGGTACATGCTGATTACTAAACGCACATGTCATGGTCCTTTACAGATAGGTTTTAGAATGCTCTTTTATAGACACCTGCACCAAAATACACGAAGATATACAATTTTATATAATACTAGCCGTCCCGGTTTGTGTTGTGTTTTGTTTGTGTTGTGTTGTGTTTTATTTGTGTTTTGTTTTGTTTGTGATTGTGGTTGTGTTGTGGTTGTGTTGTGTTTGTGTTGTGTTTGTTTGGGTTATGTTCGCGGTTCTTTTTTTTTGTGTTTTGGTTTTGGTTGGTTGTGGTTAGGGTGGGTAATGCCGGATATATGCTGATTAAAAAACAAACATGTCATGGTCCTTTACAGATAGGTTTTTCACAGAGGACAGAGCATGGCATGGCAGGGACGGCTAGTAACTATTAAAGATAAGGGTCTAGTTTAATAAAAACACTAAAACAAAAAGTCAGAACTTTATGTTTTAATTGTTTTGATTTCTATATTTTTAAATTGCATTTCTTTTTGTTACATACATGATACTTCGAGTTTATTCCATTTTCCCAAGTATTAAGTCATTGCCTTTTACAATATTTTTTCTAGTCTCGTTTCTTTTGTTACCGCTGCTGGTTTAAAAACATGTATTGATATTGTGATACATAGAATGTAGATAATACAAATGAATATTTTTTTTAAACCTTCAAATGATGTACAATATTGATTCTACTGCTAGATTATTTATTTGTAGTGAATGTTATTATCTGTATTACTGTTGGCATATTTGGATAATTGATTTTATTATGTTAAACGTTAGGGTCCATGTATTCTCATATATCTTTCGATTTACCAACTTGAAGTTATATTTAAAGATTGTGATCAGCGGTCTGTCTACTTGACATAAAACATTAGAAAATGTTCTACTTGACATTAAACATTAGAAAATGTTCTACTTGACATTAAACATTAGGAAATGTTCTACTTGACATTAAACATTAGGAAATGTTCTACTTGACATTAAACATTAGGAAATGTTCTACTTGACATTAAACATTAGGAAATGTTCTACTTGACATTAAACATTAGAAAATGTTTTACTTGACATTAAACATTAGGAAATGTTCTACTTGACATTAAACATTAGGAAATCTTCTACTTGACATTAAACATTAGAAAATGTTCTACATGACATAAAACATTAGAAAATGTTCTACTTGACATAAAACATTAGAAAATGTTCTACTTGACATAAAACATTAGAAAATGTTCTACTTGACATAAAACATTAGAAAATGTTCTAGATCAGCTGAAACAAAAGAGACCTACCGTTTCCCTTCCTGATAGTATTGACGTATCAAATATAAACAACATCGTATTTTAACGGTCACACTTTAGGTAAACAATTACCCTACGTTTCTGGACTGAGTCCACCCACCTGACGTTAGGGAAAGTAAAGGCGGCTGGGCATAGTGCTGACCACACTATCTCTTCATATGCCGAGGTCACAGAAACAAGTGAACTCTACTTCACTTGCCCCATAGACCGTCAGGTTTGAAAGGGAAACGTTAACTACTTTAACGGAAACGACTATAATGACGAAGACTGACGATTACATCTACACCCTAACACAACACAAAGAAGACTGATCTAAAATAAATAAACAGGATTTACTGGAAAAAAACACAACTGGACAATCGTGTTCATTAGGCACGCAAGAGATTTTTATTGCAATTAGAACCTGTGTAAGTACTAAAAAATAAGTAATACCATGCTTTATTAACAAGCTTTGATGTAATAAATGTACTAAAAAGTAGAAAATTAATGTATTTCTTTAAATATATAATAATACACTACTATGTAAATGACTATAATGAAAAGCATGGTTCTCTTCCTAATTATTAGTAAATTCATCCGATAGATAATAAAAAGACCCACGCTTTTCTTCTTTTTTCGTTGACGAAAGAAATAATGTATTAGATTTTTTGTCTAAATTCGCCGACTCACATTTAAACTCACATTTAATAACACAAACAATTAGACATTAAAAAAACATACTCTAACTAAATAAGTACGTATTTTAAAGTTTATTACTAGAACTAAAACACCATAGCGATCAGCACCATTTACATCAACATATGTTATGTAATCGCATGCTCTGACTGTTTAACTGAAACTAGCATGATGTGGACGTGTATGTTCTGACAACTATACAGGAGTCTAGGTTTTCCAGCTTCTTTTAAAGTCGTTAGTAAGCAATAATACAATAATACTAATAACAGTTACTTCCCATGTATACATTCAAACTGCAGAAGGTAAACAACCTACAGTGTTACTTATCAAATAAATTTTAACATTCCCGTAATAGCAGTTTTAAAAAAAATGCTATAATTGTTTGAATTTTTTAATAAACACATTTGTGAATAACTGTATTCGTTTTGAAATTTGACTTTTCATGGAATTACAATTACAGTTCTTTACTTTATTAAAATTAAAAGCCATAGACACGTTAATATTATTTTTGTACATATCTAAAACTTTAGCATCCCGTTATTAATACTTTAATTGTATTTCCTGTTTAAAAAATAAGCTAAACATACATACACAACAATATTAATATTAATTTGATTATTAATTTATTATGAACACATTTTGGTAATCTATCGTTTTAGGTAGATCTAGATCTACGTAAAATCAGCAGAGACTAGTAATGTGAATAAAGAGTGTTTTTGAACAGAAAGATTAGAGATGGGTTCAGAAAATGTTAATAATATGCCTTCATCAAGCCCATGGAGAAGGACTTTAAAAACCTCTGTTGCTGCACTCTCGGTAGAATGTGGGTATCAGTGTGCAGAAAATTTAGCTTTGGAGACACTTATAGAGATGACTCAAGCATACATTTGGGAAGCTGGACGAAGCTCAAGTGCATTTGCTGAACTAGCAGGCCGGACACATGGTATGCCAAGTGATGTTGTTTTAGCCCTTATTGAAATGGGTCTTGACTTTACAGCCATTCCAGCACATGCAAAACGTGAAAATAAAACTGTTTATCTTCCTCCTGTACCTGCACAAGCACCTGCACCCTCAAAAAATCTGCAAGTTGGTGAGAAGAGAAAAAATCCCATACACATACCTGAGCATTTACCCTCTTTTCCAGATCCTCATACCTACATTAAAACACCGTGCTTCAAGCAAACTGCTAATGAATACCAGCTGTTTAGGGAGAAGGCTGCATCTCAAAAGCGTGATGTTGAAGTAGATCTGACACGTTTTATTGCAAAAACTGGAGCAACACACTCTTTGTTCTAAGATGATAAATCTGCTTTTTCATTAATTGCTTGTAATTTATATATATTTTATTTCAGTAATTGCTTGTAAGCCATCACCTTTGCCCCATTTGTCTGCTTTGTTGCCTATGGATAGCGAAACTTCAACTCAGGAGAACTCAGATCAAGGAACAAATCCTACATTGCACCAAACCAACAATAATGATGCTAGTAACGATGCTAACATAGATGTGCCATCTGAATATGAGACAATTGACAATCCTTATCTCATGCCTGCTAAAATTGCCAAAAAGAAATGGAGATAGTATTGGAATACAAGTACAAAACTAATCCACTGATAATCGTTTGTTTTTTTTATGACCATGCTCGTTTCTACATTTTAATATCATTCATAAAAATATATTTAAATTTAAAAAATAAAAAAAAATTATAATAATTTAATACTGACAATAATGTGGAAGACACAATTTACCAAGTAAAAGAACTCTTGTCCTCAAAAGCACATAAAATAGAACCAACATGCATTAAATTAATGAAAATAAAACACTCAGATAATTTGTTCCTAACAAACACAGGGCGACAGTATACATTTAGACGGGCAGTTGATTGTTGTAACGGCATAATGCATTTAGAAGACACATAAATAAATTATGTGTGTAGTAATAAACACATACATAGTGAATTATGTTATTAGGCACGATCTTAAAATATATTGTTTTAATTTTACAATTGCGTTGTGATAAAACATAGACACAACACGCAATGGCATAACAATATATTAGAGCATATTGCAAGCGTATATCCGGGGTACACTAACGCGCCCCCCCCCCCCCCCCCTCAACTCGGAAGAAATAAAACCATTATTTCATCAAAAATATATAATGCAATCTAAAAAGTATGACAACGCTCCACTCGTGGAAAATGAATAAGCCACAACTTTCAGAAGTATCAAATACATCCCACCCTGGTTAAAATGTCAGAAAGAATCCCAGCGCTACATATAAACCAAATTTGAGCTGGGTATGTTGTTCTAGATCCCTCTGGAATGGTATTGAGTCCGTTTTATTCATAGAAGGTGCATCGTTTTAATTTTCAAACTCCATTTGAAATATTAGTTTGTCTTACGCTTGCATTCATCGGAACATCAACTCACGGGTGCGAACAGGCAATAAACAGTGTTCACTTATATAACTATATAAATACATTCACTGATGCAACTGCTGTATGCAGTTTAATACTAGTTTTGAAATAATGGAGAAAATGAATTATTATGTTCTACATAAATATTCAGAACAGTATTTAAATCACATGCATTTAATTTATTTAAAATGTATAATTACAATTACTGTTTATTTTAATCAGAAATATTACATGGTGTTAAGTAATTAAATGATAGACTAGCAGAAATCTTAAAAAAATAATATCACACACCACATCTCAATCGTCATAAAGAGAGATTTTTTTTTAAACTACTTTACAATTTAATGCAGAAGTTTAAAACTTACAAAACCGCTATTAATCATTGTAAACACGAATGTAGTGGGTATTTCTTATTTCTTATTTTACAAAGCTAAAACATGCGTTGCGCTATACTGTCTACGACACAATCCAGTTATACATACCCCCAACACACACTTTCTGCAAGCTATATCAGATCACAGATCGTTGGTCGTCTGACTTCATCAGCAGGTGATAAGTGAAAATAAATTGTGTTTGTAGTACAGTGACAATAAAGTCGATGGAACATACATTGTGTTTGATGTACAGTGATAATAATGCCAATGGTAAATAAATTGTGTTTGTGGCACAGTGACAATAAAACCAATTATAAATACATTGTGTTTGTGGTATAGTGACAGTAAGTCAATGCAAAAAAAATATGTTTGTGGTAAAGTAACACTTTTTTTTTTTAAATATTAAAATCAAGATTTATTTTTCTTTGTTTTCTTTGATGTGGAAGGTTTTAACATAGATAAAGATCGTGGTTCCAAGGAAACTGTTTTTGCTGTAACTTCTTCTTCAATGCATGCTCTGATACCCTTCTCCAAATCCTTTTTTAACTTAGCAGCTTCTACTAGACGTGCCTTTTTGGTGCTATCTGTAGGTGACCCTTTTTAATAACTCCTTTAGGTTTGCCATGCTTTTCTTTCTTTTTGCCTGGTACTTGAAGTTTTGAGGCCTTGTATTTTCCTTGTGCCATGATTGCTATCCTAAAATCAAAGGGTAAAGTAACACTAATGTAGATGGTAAACAAATTGCACATACAAACAAAAATTAAGCTGAGATTTTACACATTTATACAGTATCATCTAAAAATTATGTATCTTGTAAAAATGACATTCGTGTAGCTTAAAAGACTAAAACAAAAACAAAAAGAAAACAACATGATATATAACAAATTTTGTTACTGAACGTTAAGCCATTATTTTATTGTATAGATAAATTGATAGTAACTATTTTAACGTATTATACATTTGATTCGTTTATATTTTTCATCACTGTAGTACAAAAGTATTAGTTATATCCCTTGGTATATTATGATTATGTAAATGGGAAGATTAAAGAACGATCTAATCTTCATCAAAACTAATACAAATATTTTTAACACAGTAATGTGTCCACACATTAAGCAATGAGTTTGCTCCACGAGTTCCATACTTTGCAAACATGATCCGTAGATTGGACATCGTGCACATTGGGTCAGTAATTATACTGGAATTACTCACCCTATTAACAGCGAAAAATAAATATATATATATACGTAGAAAGTGCATAGTTGTTTGTAAATTAAACATGTATTTGTCTTGAATCTTAATGCCTACAATACATTAATAAAAGAACAAATCATAATCCGGTGATACAGTATAGCAATTGCTTTATTTTGTTCAGTTGGTCTGACTATTAGAATTAGTTATAGGATTAGCATCCCTAAACCATTTAGTTTAGTTTAATCATTTAATTATGTGTCACCGTAAGGGGAGAGGCGGAACTAGAAAAAAAAATGATTTTTTTTTGCCCTTACCCATATATATATATATATATATATATATATATATATATATATATATATATATATATATATATATATATATATATATATATATATATATATAATATAAAGAATTGCCCTACAGGATAACTCACCCGAGAGTCTCGAGCTCTGTCCATAGGATGCATTGCTATTTTCGTCATCAATGAGTTAAAACATATAGGGTCTACTGATTTGCAGTAATAAGTATTCTTTATGAATTATTGTCTTTTACAATCGTATCTCCACTCATACACCAGAACATCTATGATTCATTTCCTCAAACTAATAATGTGAACCTATTGTTTATTAATGAATGCGTACTTTTATTAAAACGGCCAAATAGTAGAAGAAAAAGAAACAGTTATAGCTGCTATCTGTACTCCAACTGTAAACAAGGTTTTTGCCCTGACGGTGGTACATAACTAAATAACGAAACTTAACTTGATATTTAAGGGATTGTAATCCTAACACTAACCCTAACTGAAAGACAAGCTCAGCAAAATAAAAATGTTACGATATTGTATCCTACTGTCGTCGAAAAAAGAAATATCATATTTTTATGTGGTGTATGGTAGGCCGTAAGGTCCAGGTGAAATACAGGCTTGATACACAATTAATTCGGAAATATCAGCTTTTTTTGTATTTATTTTTAGCTCTTAACAGGGTTAGTTATTAAAGTGTAAAATCCCTGCCCCACTGTGCAGGAGACAAATTTGCTAAGATAGTATCTGAGAAACTGTGAAAATTAAATGGTTCTGGTTACTTCCCATTAAAAAAAAATGTAAATAACTAAGGGATATAACTCATAAATTTGTACACTATTGTTAAAAATAGTAAGCAAACAAACATTTCTTATGTTAAAATAAATGTTGTGGAATTTTTTTTAACAAAAATATTAGCAGTATTGTTTGTGTAAAAATAATTAGGAATGTTTGTTTTCTTTAACTTTTGTATTCAGTAATTTTAACAACGCAGCGCTTATCTTTATTACATATCGAATTTAAAAAGTTAATACATTTTTGCCTAACAGACGCTTGCAAAGGTATTTTTTGTCAACCATATTTTTCTTTCATTTATTAACGGCTATTCCAGGGGTCGGCAACCTGGGGCTCGCGAGCCGCATGCGGCTCTTTTGATGTCAAAAGGCGGCTCTCCAGGTCCTTGCACAAATGTTAACAGTTATATTTTTTTCATTTTCAAATATTGTACTGTAAAAAACGCAACATTAAACAGGATTTAAAAAAAACTCATCAGAGAACAGTGATAATAGGTGCAGTATAAAGTATACGGACAGCTGACAGCCACTTGGGCTTCAGGCCCAGCCCCACAGACGTGCTGTAGCCAGCCCCGCGGCAACAATTCCATGCTTGACACTACCCAAGTGCCAGCCCCAGCCCCACAGACTTGCTGTAGCCAGCCCCGCGGCAACAATTCCATACTTGACACTACCCAAGTGCCAGCCCCAGCCCCACAGACTTGCTGTAGCCAGCCCCGCGGCAACAATTCCATGCTTGACATTACCCAAGTGTCGACTTCTTTAAATATCGTTAAATGGGGAATGCTATTTTATTCAAAATGCATTCCCGTATCTGTCATTACGCATTAATTTGACGTGAGGGGCGTAGTTTTTTTTTTAGTTATTAGCTTCCTACTGTTGAGCCGGGTATCGGACGGTGGGGTACAAGTTCACATTGCGTTCAGTGGGGTGGAAGATTAGCGCGGTGAGAACCCAAGGACAGAAGCGACTATTACAGGGTAATCAAGCCGATATGTAAGCCAGTTAGTCGGAGTTTATGACCCAATGACAGAAGCGACTATTACAGGGTAATCAAGCCGATATGTAAGCCAGTTAGTCGGAGTTTGCCGTGTTGAGGATTTACATAATCCTAATCAAATACAACATATTGAAAAAAAAATGGCTCTTTTAAAACTGGGAAGTTGTAGCTCAAAGTGAATAAACATCTGATCATCGATTAAAATAAACCGTCTAAACTGATTGAATTATGTAGCCTATCTTATAAAAGTATTACTTGTCGAAATATAATTGATAACATTTGTAATATTTTTTTGTAAATAATTATTAAATAAACTTTTTTAAAAGTAATGTTTGTTTAATTGTTTTAAAGTTGTATCCCTCAGTGTAAATAGTTATAAGTCATATACCTTGTTTTTTTTTAAATTTTTTAAATGGGCAGTAACCAAAAAACTATAATTTTCTTTGAAACAATTAAAAAAAACAAAAGCTAATAAAAATATTTCTCAACACAGTAATAT